GAAATTTTTTCTTTTTCGCCTTTCTGGGCAGTATCTTCTCCAGTGTCCCGGCTTACCGCATTCAAAACACCGGTCTTTTCTATCAGCCAACTTTAACGCCGCCACTTCCCGCTGCAATGCTTCAATTTTCTGCTCATATTCGTTTGGTTTTGGTTGGTCTATAGCGGCTACCGTTGTGCTCAGCAGCTGTCTGGTCACCTTCGCCAGCTCGCTAATATCCATCGGCTGCGTTGCGTTAACCAGTTGTAATCGCTGAGAAATGTGGTCTGGGACACTCTCGATGAATTGGGAAGACAGTAACTGCGCTTCTGATTCTTCATCTAAAGTGGGAAGCGCGCGTCGAAGTAGATTAGTCAGTTTCACCGCCAACACTAGCGGGTCTCCATCAGGTCCAAGCTTCATTGACCGGAACTGCTGCATTGCTAGCTGTCTGTCTGTTTCGCTGTCAAACTCGGACACTAGTCGTTCAACCAATTTCTTCCAAGACGCTGTGCCATTTGACCTGTCTACGCTGTCATATGCAGCCTTCGCTCGGCCTCTCAACAGCGTCCCCAAGACAACTGCCTTCGCTGCCTGCTCCTTGACACCCACCAGCTCAGCAACGGCCTCGAAGTCACGTAAGAAGCTCCGTATGTCTCCTTCTTCAAACGCAGCTGGCCACGGGATCTTCATTTTTTGGAGGCAGCGACACCAAATGTAACAACAGAAGACAAGGGCCAGGCAACAGATCGTTTTATTATGAAAATCAACACGTATTTATACATATTTCAACTACATTATTATAGACAAGCGCAGTCATCTGATTGGTTGTTTATCAGAAGTTAGGTAGACAAACGCAGGCTTCTGATTGGTTGTTTCGGGATTCCTTGACAAATAGAGTTCTCTATCTGCGAATCATATTTTGCCACGTTAACTTTGCTGTGATTGGTTGTTGACTCAGCCTTGTTCATATTTTCTCACGGCCCATATTAGTGACCTAGACCTTAACGTAGATTAGTGCCAACCAATCGGCTAGCAGCCTGCTCTCACCACACTACTACTTGCTACTCGCGTCTGATGCATCTGCGGCTCTGATTCCCTGGAAGAAGAACTACACTTCCTGATAGAAATATTCATAAAAAATGGTTATCCACCAAAATTCATAGACAAAAATATCAAACAAAAAATCCAAAAGCAAGAGAAGCCATCCGTACTAAAATAGATACTTTATATGAACCTTGACTTCAAAGGTGACCTACTCAGTGATGTCCTTAAAAGGAGAATTTCCACTTCTTTAAGAAGAACTTTCTTTGCAGCAACATCGAGAATAGTGTTATCCAGTCGCCCGCTGATCTGCAGAAGCCCAAAGGACAAGATCTCACACCTGACCACTTCTGTGTGTATATATCAGTTCACCTGTTGCTGTAGAGCCAGGTGCATCGGTCGTACGACGCGTATCCTGTCAAAAAGGATAAAAGAACACTACACAGCCTGGCTGCAGAAAGGAATTAGTGGCCGTATGAGGAATGCGATAATCGAACAGCTCGTCACCACTGGTCATTCCATCTCAACAAACGCCTCCTGCTTCAAAGTAATCTACAAAATGAAGAACAACCTATTACAAACAATACGTTTCCGTCTTCTTAGCATTGCAGAAGCCCTAGCCATTCAGTTGGAAGAACCAGAACTATGCATACGAAAGAAAATTATTCAACTACTTCTACTATCATGGTAACAACTCTGTTGATTTGACTTAACTTTTGTTTGTATGCTTATTTTTCTAACTAGTTAAAACTCTTGCGAAATTCCGTATGTTATTTCGTTTCCATGTACACCCTGAGCACAACTCTTTCATCAAAACTATTCATGTTATTACGTAACTTTTCTTTAACAATCGTTTGTGACAACTCATCACTTTTGTTACTATCCTCTTATATCAACATCCAATTCATCTGAAACTACTAATTGTAATTTCGTTTGACAAGTTTAATGTACACACACACATACAAAACAACCATATAAATTTGCGATTGTACAGCTAAGAAAATGAATTCACTGAAAAGAGACTCTTCGCTGGACTACTGGTTTTCTGTCTATAAATGTTCGAATGGGGATTTTTCATGAAACACTAAATAAACGTTAGAAACACTAAGGAATTTTCGCCTATGGAAACCAAATTAAATTTGCTTATTATAAGCTATATGCAAGGACTGCTGTGTCACTTTATGAGTGTTCATCAAATTTATACAATATGTATTTTCCTTAAAGCTTGAAAGTTGTATACAAAAACCGATTCAGCTGATATATTATCCTATTGTTCGAACTGAAATAAATCGTTACCTTGTGGTGGGAACACGCTAGACAAAAATGGTAAACAGAATTTTACGTCAGTGGGTATGTCGCAAATATTGGTGGTGAGAAAATATGAACAACACTGATTCAACAACCAATCACAGCAGACTTGGCGTATAGATTATCTGACATTCAAGAAACAGTCACAAAGAGATGCAAAGTCAACTTTCTGTAAGAAACAACCAATCAGAAGACTGTGTTTGTCTGCTTGAATAAGCTATAATAATGTTCATGAAATATATATAAATACGTGTTGATTTCTTTAATAAACGATCTGTTGCCTAACTCTTGTCTTTTGTCGTTACAACCTTAGAGGATTAATCTCCTGAATTTCTGTCACAAAATCTAAATAGTGAAGTAGTGATGCTGAGTTATTAATCAGGTTTTGTTGTCACTACCAAATGCAACAGTCGTATACATTGTCTCTTACAAGTCCTATAGTTAGACTGAACCACTGATTTGAAACTTATAAGTTCATGTCATTTCAGTTTTGAGAAGAAAATTCTACCACATTTAGTTAAATCAATAAAAATTCTCCCCAACAAAACCTTTGAAGCTATGTATGCATGAGTATGTTTAGGGCGAAAAGACAGACTATACCTTTCAATATTGTTCTGTTCTACTTGAAGTGGTGACGCGTTTAATTAATGTTAAGCCACTTATCAGTTGTTTGTAAAGTTTCGACAGATTACACTCCTGAAGAATGTAGCCAACAGTACTGGAGCCGATCGGTTAAGATTAGTGAAATTTCGAAAAGTCAAGGTAATAAACATGAAACTTAGATTTCCGAAAGAAAACTGTATGAAATGGTGATAACTTTTGAATGAACAAACTTCATTAATTTTGTGCACACACCGTCCCTCAAAACCGTGCATCTTGAGACTTGAGCAACGTTTTGTAAGCATAAAATTGAGGCATAATTTGTTAGAAATCTCACTTACCAAGCACTGTCTCAGCTCCAAGTAGCATGCAGGAGGATTCCAAAGCCAGATAGGATCTTAAAATGAAGATTGGTGTTCATTACTCTGAAATCAATATGGAGGTCTACAACATGATGACTGAGAACCGAATTCTCAACATTAACATTAAGTCTATTATTCTATACGTTCGATAAACTTGTGGAAAACCAACAAGTTTGGAGAAAAAGTAGGCAGTAAAGGCAGAACTTTGGGTGAACATAGAGAAGACAGATGTGATGAAGATACTCGTTCACACACACACACACACCCGCTAACAACAACAAGATTAACACTATCAACAGGAGAAATCTGAAGGAAGTGACTTCTTTCCCTTACTGTAGTAGCATCGTTTCAACTACAGGCGGTGCAGATAACGATTTCAGTGTGAGAATCAGAAAGCATGATAGACGTCCATTAATCTGAAATCCGCGTAGAAGTCTACTGTACTCAACAAAGGGAACAAGATTCCTGATTTTCAATGTTAATTTCAAATCAATTCTTCTGTATTCTTCAGAGACTTGGCACGCGCATCACAAAAAGCATTTCCAACAGGCTAAAGACTTTCATCAACACCTATTTTCGCTTCTTGTGTGCTGCATGGAGTATGTCAACCTGAACTGCTCTGGAACTCAGTCAGTCAATCAGCCTATCTTCGTTTGATGTCTAAGATTGGATCGCTGGCCGGAAGACTAAGAAACAAGGACTTCGAGTAAATCAACAATCTATTACGCAGAAGAAATGGAGATGGATTGGATATGGGCTGAGATGGCCTTCAAGTAAAATCATACACCAAACAGGCTATCAAATGAAACCCTAATGGAATACGATGATATGGTCGTCCGATAGTGACATAGAGGAGTTCATATGAATAACAAATGAAAGCTTGTAGGCATTCGTGCAGCCACCTAAGAAAAACGGTCGAGAATATAATGAAGTCGAAATGTACTGCTGACGCCCTCCTATTTACCTTGAATAATAATGATGATAACAATATAATATGTGAATTTTCTCCCCTTAGATTAGTCTAAGTAAATGGGGTCCCAGTGGCTTAATGGTCTACGAGATCGCTAGCCTTGTAACCAGAAGGTCCTGGATTTGAACCCTGGTGGTAAGTGCCTACTGTGAAGAGTCGCAAACTAGGCTGACAAAACAGCTGTCCAGTACTCCCTGCTGGTATTCCAATGGTTCTCCAACTGATGTCAGCTGATGATGAAATCCTCCAACCAATCAAACAAAATCCCTACAAAATCAATACTTGAAAATGAATTGACCTGAAGATCACTAGCGACTGGCTCTATTCAGTCAGTGACCTGGGGTTCTAGTGGGAAGTCATGACCACTAGGGTACAGCACGTCAAAGGTGAGGACAATTACTCATCGAAGAAGACATTTTGAAGTGGTCGCACTATGTCATGAATCGACAGAAATTAGAATTCAAGTTCTGGAGATTGGATTGGGACCCAATGACTTAAGGGTCTGCGAGCTCTCTAGCCTTGTAACGAGAAGGTCGTGGGTTCAAACCCTGGCATTGGGTGCACATACTGATGAAGAGTCCCAAACTAGGCTGACGCGACAGCTAACAGTCCAGCACTTCCAGTTGGTTTTCCAGTGGTTCTCTAACTGATGTGTCAGCTCATGATGAAATCCTCCAACCAACTAAACAAAATCCCTACAAAAACTAATACTTGAAAATTAGAAAATAAAGCAAAACTGTTAGTTTCTAGGGTTATTATTATTATTTTTAAATAAAATAGAAATGCAATAAATTTCTTGTCTTCTTAAGACAAGAATTTTTTTTCCTTCTTGCCTATTGTACAGGTAATTCTCAGTGGAAATTTAAATAAAAATATTTATGTTCAATGTACAATTGTGATTGCAATTTTGAAGTATACAAAGAAAAGAATTTTGGAATGTTTTTCTTTTAAAACATACAAAATCCTGGATAAATAAACATTGTACATTGAAATTCATCAATAAAATAAACAGCAAGTTTATAAGAAAAATAAATAAAAGTCAGATGAAGGTGTGTGTGTGTTTTGTCATTTTGACTTATTGAACATTGAAGTATCAAGTATATTCTAATTATTGATTGTACAATGAAGATGTGAATGGTGATGACAACGAAGACAATGATGATGATGATGATGTGGTGCAAGGTGTTATAAAAGTAGACTGATTTACAGAATTACTACTATTAATATTATTATTAGTAGTAGTATTAGTATTGTCATTATTATTAGGACATGTTATATTTGACAATAAATTAAACCATGAATTAAGCATAGTTACAGGTACAGGCATCCATACACATTTACTGTCTGACATTGGCGTTGTTGAAGACAAACCTAATGGACTAGTTATATTACTTTTATTATTATTATTATTGTTATAAGTAGTACTTACTGTTGGCGGTGTTTTCAATTCAGATGGAGGTGGATTTTTTGTGTGTAGTTTATGGTAATCCCTAATATTGTTATTGCTATCATCATAATTAACATTATATTCACATCTTTGGTTGTTAAATTTTGTGGGATCACTATTATTATTATTATTATTACTATTACTATTTAAGTAATTCACCGCTGCATTTAAACGATTCACACGTGTCAACTGCTCCCCTAAACGTTTCATATTTATTGTATGACGTTCATTATGCAATTTTGTTGGTAATTCATCTAAATTGTTTTGCCTATATAATACATCATTGATTTTTTTCATCATAATATTATCTTTTATTGAAAGGGAATAAGGAGTATGATGGTTTGAATTTTGTTGTGTTGTAGAATAGTTATTATGCTCAAATCGTGTTGTCGGCAAATGACAACTACACTGACAATTAGGTGAACGACAACGTTCTGTCTTATTGAATTGTTGTACGTAGGGCAGCTTTTCAGAGGTTGTTTCTTTTCTTGTTGTTGTCTGTGGTAATGGTGGGGGTGGGGGTGGTGTTGGTGTTGGCGTTGAATTAGGAAGAGTATTCATCCAGGTATCTTTATGTCTATTCCATACTTCTGTATCACAAGAATTTATAAAATCTGTATGATTTAAACTGATTGAATTCATTAAAGGGTTATTAATATTTTTATAATTTTTAAAATAATAATCATCTTTATACAACATTGTTGAATCATTTCGGGTATTTGTAGAATTTGTATCTACAGTTGAAGGTATTCCTTGATGTTTTTGTTGTTCTAAATGTATTATTTGTTCAGTTGATGGATGCGTGAATTGATTTAATCCATTATATAGACTGTTGGGGTTCCGGGTTATTTGATAATCATTGAAATTAATTACATTATTTTGTGATGATGTCATATTATATGCCCAAGAGGTAATAAATTCTGTTAATTCATTCAATCCATTTGAAGCTTTACTTTGATTTTGTTCAGAAAATATAGATTTTATATTATTTAAATAATTAAAAAGAAAATTATTATTATTATTACCATTATTATTATTGTTATTGTCATAAGTAGACTGAGTAGTCGCAGAATTGTTCTGCTTATTTAAACAAGTGTTTATAAGTGTTGAAATTGATGTAATATCTAAATTCATTGGCGGATAAATAGAATTCAGATGGATTGAATCTAATTTTGACACTTTTTTGTCTTCTGTCGATAACATTTTAAACATGCCTTCATCAGTACTTTTAACATTAGAATGAGTGGTATTATTGATATTCGTACTAGGAACAGTTGTAGTAATAGTAGGAGTTGAATGGGTGCTAACACTACTGGAATATTTACAGTCCAGTTGATTTCCACAGAATTTATTGCTATTGTTATTGTTATTATTACTATTATTATGAGGTAAGTTATTCCATTCTTTGTGTTGATGCTGTTTTGGTTGATAATAACGATTGTTCATGTCTTCTGATTTAGCAGAACAATATAATGAAGGATTTACTGTAGTATTGATAACAGCCTCATCATCACCATCATCATTATTATCATGCATGGATTTTGAATTTGACGCCAATTTATTCAATTGTTTCAATGTCTCTTGTAAATTATCAGATGATAATGCTTCTTCTTCTTCTTCTGTTGCTATTGGTGCTGTTATTGTTGATGTCAACGGGGTTGTCAATGTCTCTGTTGATTTTGTTAATGTTAATGAAGTTGAATTTGAAGGTGTACAACAAAATTTAATTAAGTGTTTCAGTCCAATAAATTGATAAACAAATTTACGTCCATGTACTTTACGTATAATATTTTTTTGATAATAATATCTTAATGCACGACTTAATTTATCATAATTCATACGATGATTTTTATCTTTACGCATACCCCATAATTTAGCTACAATTTCAGCTTGTACAAGAATAAATTCACCACGTTTATTTGTCCATCGTATTATATGCTCATATTTATTTGATAGTAATAATTCTAATAAGAATTGCCATAATGTTAATTTACCACTACTTCCATCAACTTCGGCAGTAAACTAAATTGATATTGAAAAAATTAATTGAAAAAAAAAAGAATAAATTAATGTCAGTAAAAAGTTTGAGCATTGTGAAATAGATTAAATAAACTATAATTATATTTCCATCGTTTACAGACAATCATAATTAAAACAATTAGTCCCTTTGATAAATTTGAATAAGGCATTTACGAGACAAATTTCGCGAGATGATATCGTCATTTCGTAGTTTCTTTACAACCGCTTTACAACTAACATGGTTAACAATAATAAAATAAAAATCATGACAATTACTCAGTTATATTTAAAAAAAGTACATCCTAATGACCAATCATACTTAAATAGGTCAAGTAGTCCATGGTAGACAAAGGTTGAAGTTTGCCGGTTTTTGTATAAATATATTTCAATGATTTACACAATGATAAGTGTTTGTCTTTTGGTAATATTTCAAGAAAAATTACTGACAGTGATCACATTAACTGTTGGAATTGTATTGTTTTGTATTGGAATTCACACATTTATCATTTGTACTCATATATATATATAGTTCATTTATTTGTCCATTCATTTTTGTGTACTCAGAATTGTATTCCAGGTTGTTGACAGTTGTGCTTCTGAGCCACGCTTGTTACATATATCCGGTGTGACCTTAATGAATATAGATTCTATTATAAGTCTCTCTTTACACATGTTCATATTCAATTTCAGAATACAAACATTGTTCCAATCGATATTGTGGTTTTTGTTCCATGGATATGCGGATATAGATGAATTTATCTCTAAATTCTTGTAAGCCTGTGTTCTTGTGAGACCATTACCTTCAGTCAGACACTCGGTACAAGATATTTTGTAAATCACGTTGTTTTTATCCATCATTTTCATGGGATCTTTCGGTGGATTTGTTTTATTTTTGATTAGATTCGTCGGTTTAAAAGTTGTCCGAATCCCAATAGTTTTGCGGTTTCTTCGAATTGCCTCTGATGTACCATTTTTATATGGTATTGCGACTGTTTTTTTTCCATTCTTCCTTCTTGTTATTCTCCGGTTTTACCCTCTTTTTTCTCTTTTTTTATATTATCTTTGATAAATTCCTTTGGGTAGTTGTTGTCGAGAAACATTTTGAATAAGACGTTTATTTCTTTACGGTGGTCTTTCGGTGTTGTGGTGAGTCTACGTATTCTGTCTGCAAGACCTTTTATTAATCCTGGTTTTACCGTGAGTAAAGCAAATGAACTATATATATATATATGAGTACAAATCATAAATGTGTGAAATCAAATACAAAACAAAACACTCCCAACAGTGGTGTGATCACGGGTAGTAATTTTTCTCGAAATATTACCAAAAGACAAACACTTATCATTGTGTAAACCATTGAAATATAATTATACTTTATTGAAAAATAAAAAAGATATCATTTATTTGTTTAAATTAGGCATGGAAAAAACAAACGTCGATATTTGAAATTTGAATTTTTCAAGGTTATGTTTATCGAATTATCGAATGAAATCAGGATGGATTTCACTGCTATTTAGCATTTACTGAATAAGTTCAGATCAATCCTCACATCATCTACGAAGCATCTGTACTAGGAGTCTAAATATCAAGAGATGTCGAATATTTCAGTCCAACATAACCATTAAGTTACGAGAAATATAAAAGGTTAACTTAAATAAATAGTCTTCGAATGATGCTGTTCAGTCGAGGACTTTCCAAAGGTTTTGAAATTAAATCTACTTCAGTTGACTAATCATTAAAAAGAAAATTAGGAACCGTTCAGGAATTTTTTCGGTAAGCTCTTCATACACTATGATTATCAGTTTTACTACGCTGAATAGTAGTTTAGAATCCATCAGTGCTGTCAACATTCAACAGAGTAATTTCTAGGTGTTGATTTGAAGGTATTCGATTAGTTTCAAGTTAGATCACTGATTGATATCAATTAAAGGATCAAATAAAAGCCAGAAAGTACTGGAAAGCTGTTTCATTATGGTTAGTGACTCTTCAGCAGGACGCATCTATTATCCCACTGAGAATTCAATCTATGGCCTTCATGTTACGAGGCAAATCGTTGATGATTCACCCACTGGAACAGGACTGAATCTCCTATGAATTCTAATTCCTGCCAGTTCTCGATTTATAACGCCATCTCCCTTTTGACTAAGTTAATTTCTACAGTTTTTACAATTCTAGCTAATTCTATTAACTTGTTTGTATTTTACATAATTCTTCTGAGTCATCCTACTCTTCTTAGTCACCAATGCTATTTTACAAATTTCTCGATTATGTAATAACTTGTTGCCAACGCCTATGGATCAGCTTATCTTGAATTCCATAATTAATTTTCACCCCTCCTGTAGAACTTAAATATCTTGTTACCCACGTCTATAAGTTATTTGTTTTGATGACCTTTAACCTCTTAATTGCACCCCCTTCCTCTATACCTAAAACTGATTAACTAAAATAACCACTTGATTGGTAAAAATTTTGATGTTAAAAACTATATATTAGTGTAAGGCCACCTGATGATGAGGAACTAATTGAGAAGGAATGCATATTTCTTTGCTTAATCTGTTGTTCTGTTTTCTAAATGCGTAAATGGGAATTTTGAAATTAATTTCTTTTGCTTTGTCTCTTGAGCTGAATATTTGACATCTCAACTTTTCAGTATTATAATCACCTCGAATCATCGAAACCTAGATCTCTTCTCTTTTGCGATATGTGCTGGTGATCTTTATTTTTGAGCATACCTAATAAATATCCAGCTTCCATTCTTGACCTTGGAATATTTCTGTAACTTAAAAATTTAGAAGTATTGATTTTTGTAGGGATTTTGTTTGATTGGTTGGAGGATTTAATCATGAGCTGACATCAGTTAGAGAGCCACTGGAAAACCAACAGGGAGTACTGGACAGCTGTCTTGTCAGCCTAGTTTGGGACTCTCCATCAGTATGCACCCACTGCTAGGGTTCGAACCCATGACCTTCTGGTTACAAGGCTAGAGAGCTTGCAGACCATTGAGCCACTGGGACCCGGTTCTCTAACCGATGTCAGCTCATGATAAAATCCTCCATACAATCAAACAAAATCCCTACAAAACCAATACTTGGAAATTAACCTGATGCTCACTAGTGACTGCCCCTATTCAGTCAGTTAACCTGGGGTTCTAGTGGTAAGCCGTGACCAGTAGGGTACAGCAGGTCGAAGATGAGGCAGTATCTCATCGAAGAACACATTGCGAAATGGTCGCGCTGTGTGGTGAATTGGCAGAAGTTAGAATTCAAGAACCATTGGGTCAGGTGGCAGTGGCTCAATGGCCTACGAAGTCGCTTACCTTGAAATCAGAAGGTTCTGGGTCCGAAACCCCGGTGGGTGCGTACTGATAACGAGCCCCAAACTAGGCCGACGAAACAGCTGTCCAGTACTCCTAACTGGTTTTCTGGTGGTTCTCTAACTGATGTCAGCTCATGATGGAATCCTCCATACTTATGTATTTATCAATAAACTTTACTGATATATGTAGTTCTTTATTTTCAACTTCTCATATATTCATTTGAGTAATATTAATAGTCATCATCCCCCAAACTATTAAGCTGAGGCACATGAAAAAGTTTTATGCTGATATTGTAACGATTTTGGGCTGTACCTGGGTGATAAGAATTCACGTAATATAGTGACGTCATCTTTTCCTATTCAGTTTGTTGAAGTTTATAAAGAGAATGAATTGTACGAAGATTGGCCAAGTTAAACTTTAAGTACCAGTAATTGCCAAGTGTGTTTGTGTATGGGGAGGGAGAGGGAGACCACACCAATAACCTTGAAATACCCAGTGAGTAAATTGGTGCAACCTAACAAACAATATTGTAATCATAAATAAAATATTACTTAGTGAAGTGTTATGATATTAAACGGGATATCTTATAAGTTTTAGGTTAGGTTTAGGAGAGATTAAGTCTAGTGTAAGTTTAGTGTAAAGACAGGTTATGGTTAGGTTAACCTAATGAAGGCGATATTAGGGTTCGTTCGGGTTAGATTAGGCTTGTTTTAGGGATATTTTCACATTGCGGTTAGCTTTAACAAAGATTAAGCTTAGGGTAATGAGACTCAGATGAATACATGCATAGGATGGGATTAAATTACTCTTTTAACACTCCAAATTGAAAAGTGATAGGCATTTTCTTCACACATTAGAGAATGCTATCCTGTTAATTCATTTTTCTCATGAACGTATGTATTTTATACACAGAAATAAACCCCAATATATGATAGATGCATTCAAGGTCATTTGTTCATTGGTGCTTACTGGTGCCTGAAGTTTAACTTTACTCGAAGATTTAACAGGGAACTTGTAACGCAAGAACTTTTTGCCTGCATATTTCCAAGTGGAAGAAATTCTTCAGCTAACTGAATTTTTGATTCTTATAGAATTAAAAGTACTGAAAATCTTGTATGTTGCTGTGAAGTACTCAATATTAAGCCTATGTATTTCACTACAGTAAGCTTGAGGGTATTGAACAGAAATCCAGAAACATATGAAGTGGATCAGTTTGACTGTTAGACTAACTTAAAGAGAAATTCTAAGAAGAGAAGATCCCCTGCAGTATATATATATATATTACTCTTCTGAGCATGTATAAAAATGAGCAAATCAAAACAGATCTCAGTATTGCTTTCTTGTCACTATATTTATACTACTTATAATTTATTAAGTAGAGCAATAGATCTAGCAAAATTTCCGTCGCAAATTGGCGTCAACGGAGAGCCCCTTTCCAACAACCTATCATTTTCATTTTATTTTTTGATTACAGCTTGATTCCACACCGTATTTTTAGTACACGTATGGAATTTTTAGCATGTGTTATCGGTAGACCAAATTTTGCAGGCCGTGCAATGTATGTAAAGTCAAATGTGTGAGTTATGGTAGTAGACCAGGGTTGACTAGGTCCGCGAAATCTAGTGCACTAGACCGTAATTAAGCTAAAAAGTCTACAAAAATGGTGTGAGCTCTGTAAATGCAAACA